ATAGTCATAATTTTATGGATATGTGGAAAAGAACACGTATGACTGACCTTTAAATCAACCCTCAACTTGACAGCTTAGACTGATTTACTATCCAGATCTCTATTTCTCATTCTTTTTCAACTGTCAAAAAGAATTTGTTTGTTATAAATAGCAACCCTCCAACAACAACAGAAAATAAGATACAGGCAGCCACCTTGCAATGTACCTGTTCTCAAAATTCTTTTTACTTTTTAAAGAAGCCCAAGTTTCCAGGCCACTTCCATGAAGAGCATCCTCATCTCCTGGACAGGAGTATTTGTAATGAAGTGAGATCAACTATTTACAATGTTTCCTGAAGGACACAGAGGTGACATAAGTCACAGGTTAACAGCTTGTTGTTCTCTGTATGGGAAGGTCATAGGAAATCTCAAGTCCTAGTGGGTCTCAGGGCCAATAAAAATGTAAACCGGAGACAGAAACTTCTGGACACAGACTATAACTTAATTGCAAAACAATCACAGGAGTGGCTTGCCACCACTTTTTGAAGTCCATTTTAGTTCCAATACTGTATTTAAAAAAACCCAGTCTTGAATGGAAGATTCTCCTGATTTTTCTTTATGGAAATAGAATTATTGAGAAGTTGTAAAAAAACCTACCATACTCTTTAAATTAAAGCTTCAGGTGCCCAGGATTCCAACAATTGGGGTTTTTTTTAAAGCCAGGGTACCTTTGAAAGCCATAAATGTCACTAAGATTCCCTTGTTGTGAAGACAGGTAAGGACTGGGTGTCTGAAGTCATTGTTAGGCCTGACAGACTTGCATTCATTGCAGGTAGAGTTTTTGCTGAAGTACATAAGCAAGCCTTGGGAACAGCTCATGCTGGGGACGTGTCCTTAGGCCAGCAGTAATTAGCTCCCCTAAGAATCCTGTAGCCACGAGGTGCCATTAGCATTAGCAAATGTACTGCACTTTGAAGATGCAAAAGGATTTCAAAGAGCTCATAGGTACCACATTATCCACTGCACTGGGATTTCTGCATTACTGTTTTCAGCTCTTATTTAAAATTATAAATAGATATTCAGACAAACTTGTAAGTTATTTTTGACAACCAGTTATTGCACTTACTACTCAAAACCCCAAAACATAAGTTTTCACTAGGAATGTCCCTTTTGTTTAAGGAAACAAAAGTTTGTTTTCATTTATTGAGGAGCCTGAAAATCTGTTCATTTTTCTTTTTTCCACTTGTTAACTCCTTAAAAAAAGTTTGTAGTCTGTACAAAAGAACAGAATTCTTAGAAGTAACTCATTTTTTCTTCTCTGATGATACTGCAAGATTCAATTAAAAAAAAAATGAGCAAACCACAGAAGGATTTTGCCAGGTTTTGATAACAGGACAACAGAGCAGAAATGTAAGCTTCAAATGGCTTTCTTTTGCTCCAAAAGCTCAAGATTAATATGAAAGTGATAATCAAAAACTCAAGTTGAAGGGGAGTCACATAGAAATCAGAAAGAAAACCTTTTCCCCAGCAAGGTATTGCTGCTCAGGGACAGGTTGCTCAGCAAAAGCACCTCAGGGGTATTCGAGACACAGCAAAACAAGGTCAGGAGTGGCTGGACCAAGCTCCAGTAACAGCACAACTTCAGGAGGGGTCCTGGGGGCTTGGTACTAGAAGACCTTTCCTAGCAAAAGTTCTCCTCCTGCAGTTACTGAAACTACCCAAGAATCATCTAAGGAAAGAGAATATAGGATTTTAATTAAAAGGTTAAATAAATATAGAAAGCCAAATATTGAAATCCTAATGCAAAAATAGCAAAGTTTCAAATAAGGAAACATACACATTCCTCAAAGCCACACTATAATTTAGAGCTTTTCACTGAGTTGTACATACCATATGGAAGCTAAGAACCCACACCTTTTCTTCCTTTCAAGTCATCCTAACAGGAATCAGATACATTTACTCTATCACAGCAAGAGTCTGCAGACAGATAGAGTATTTACTGAAGTTACCCATATCATCTGTCATCTGCATTTCAAAAATAAAAATGAAATTTTACAATAGAAATCTGTTAAAGATAAGCACCATCACTTCAACACACTTTTCTTCATATAAGATTTTCCTTCAAAAAATTTCACCTTCAAGACTTCAAACTGTAATAGAAATTTTTCTTTTATTTTCCCTGTTCAGCACTGCTTAAACTCAGGCATTCAACTCAACAATTAATACTTGCAAGGTTTGAAACTGGCTGGATTGGCTGCCTGTTCTGCAGGTAAATATTTATATAAATATAAATAAATATGTTAAATTCCTCTCTAATACTTGAATCAGTGTATTCCCAACAGGCAAGAAACTGATACTTTATGATCCTGTGAGCACATCTTATTGTAGACAAGCTAAAGCATGAACCCAGCATGAAACTCAGCTTCTCTTCCTCATAAAAGTCCATGTCCAACCACCTTATGAGATTATTCTACTTCTTTCATGAATAAATAGATCATGATTCCACTACAGTGGAATAGATACAGCAATTTCAAGAGACTCAGCTTTAGCTGGGGAAGAATTAGCTCATGTTACAAATGTTCTGAATTTTAAAATCTGGAGATTTATGTTTTATCTTCTCTACCAGCCAAAATCATATCTGTAGAAATATTTTTCTTGCACGAGGATTTTCCCATGTTTTTGGAATGAAACCTCATAGAAAATTATGTTTGAATCATGGTGATTTCACTATAAAACCAAAAAAAAAGAGACCTACATTAACCAGACTCAGAATTCAGTGCCTATATCAATTCCCTACATGAAACAAGTGACCATCTGCTCCACTTGCCTATAAGCAATATTAATATCTTCTCTTTTTGCTGCCCTATTTATCCCCCTTCCCCCCCTCCCTGCTTTAGCTTTAAATCCTTCTCTCCATACAACACTACCTACCTATTTTTAACTCATGTCTTCCAAATTTCCACTTGGCTGCTCACCTCATCAACATATGTTAGATCTGCTCGCTGGTGCTACAGACCTCCTATCTGGGACCATTTATGAACCATCTTGTAGCTGGCACAGTCATTTACATGTCTTAAAGGCATTTACAAAATGTCACCACCTCAGAACGTATCCTCAGAAGAAGCTGTGGCCAGATCCACGTAATGCTCTTGATCTTAAATTTGTTCACTCTGTAGTGTAGTTTCAAAAGTTAAAATAAAGCTTGATGTTAAGTCTGGTTTTATATTTCTAGTCATCCCATTCTGATCTTGAGACTTCCATTTGATCTGGAAATTTCTCTTATATTGAAAAAATAGGGATTTGTGAGATTAAGAAACTATTTAGTATTTATATTTTTCCCCTCCAAAAGAAGAGGAAAGATATATTTCTACTCTCAATTTCTACCACTTCTAAATTATTTGGAATACTAGATTCCCTCTTTCAGATGTCTGGTGAGAAAATTGTATCTAATGAGTGTTCTCCTTTTAAAAACAAAATGTAAGGAAGTTTCTGACCTTAGAGGGTCTTATTGCTGAAGTTTGAGTCTCTAGTGATTATCTTACAGCTGTTCACTACCAATCCTGGGTTTCATATAAATGTGTAAAGTCCTTCTTGTACATAAGCCAAGAAACAATGCAGAGCTGCTCATTTGAGCTTTTTTAGTTGTTCTTATACAATCAGCAAAGGAATTATTGTAGATAGGTTTGTCATTATACCTTGTTGACATTTTTTATTTAACAATTGTCTCTTGAAGCTCAGCAAACTCTGCAGAGGAATTGAGCTGTGGTGACTACAATTGCAATGCTAATTAACAGACATACCAAATATGAATGTTTTAGTAAAAATTTTTTTAAGAAGTGTATTGGATGAAAAGCAGCCAGGAAATACTTGGAAGATCAAGTTTTATTTCCTGGAAAAGTTGATACTCTGCATTAGAATACATAGAGCTGAAATGCTGGGCAGCAAATTAAAGCAATGGCCTTGTGTGTGCCCCTATGCATTATTTTTCTGGTGTTGATGTTTACCTCACCTGCCCTTTGAGTAGACTGCAGGATTTGGACGAATTTATAAATTTACCAGTAACTTCTAAATTGTAAAATACTGCAATAAAAAGTACTAGCAGCAGTCATCTCGAAGAGATTTACTGATTAGGCAGCCCAAGTCAATTATTAGACATAGTAGTTTTACCATTGCTGTCTCATGTTTGTAAGCAAAACAAAGGAAACAGATGCACTTTGCTTCATTCTGATTCTCTGAAAAATTCCAAACCATGTTTATATAAGAAATCTAGAAACTCATCTGAGATCCTCTGCAGAAAACAAAAATTAGTAAAGTCAAAAGACAAATGAAAACTGGTTCCACTACTACATTGTCTCAACATATCTGGTATTGTTGTTCTTGAATATCTGGAAGTGCTAATATGCAATGTTTAAACTAATCCTGCCTTAGAGGTGAGGTCTGAAAGCAGATACAGAGATTTTATTAATCCTCCCCTAGTACTGATTTTACTCTGATATTATTAATTCTTTTTCTCCATTATGTGGTGTCCTTAGGGTCAGCTACATCTAACCCAAATATCACCAAAAAAGGAAGCTATAATAGAGATAATTGATTTGATTTGTCTTTATCTAGTTAATTACTTCATCCTGCACTCACTTTCCTTTATTTTTGCAATTTCCTGAACCAAGAGAATGAACTGTTATTGACAATCTAAAAGGAGAAAAAGAAAGGGAGGGGTAGAGAGAAGATGGAATCTTCATTTGTCTGCATTTCTCTGTATCTCAACTTCTACTTTGCATTCAGATAGATTCAGTGCTAAAAAATCCTCATTAATTAATAAAAGCAACCTTCTAACTCTGTATTGCTTTTGGTCCTGAGGAACATCAAAAGACTGTGCAAACCTAAAGTAAAATGCAATCAATTACCAAGCTCAGGGGATTATTTCACCAAAGCAATTGATTTAACTTCACCACTGCCGCCACCTCTCATTGGAAACATATCAGCTATTTAACAGCACACTCATAAAACAAGGTAACAAATTACCTCAGCACTTCCTAGGGAATAACCTTTCAGTCTTTCACTGGAAGAAGACAGGTGAAAAATCATGTTCTCGTCTTTTCTTTTCACTTCAGTTCATACAATCTCTACTATACCTACCAGAAATGGAAGGGAAGGGAATCCAACTGAAGATTTCATACAGCAGAATGTATGGCTTAGGTTTCAGGAAACAGATAATGGGATCTTTAATGACTACACACAACAAGGATTGGGACTTGTCACATCAAACCACATTTCTATTTTACAGCACAACAGGAAACAGACTTCAGTGACAAACACGACTCAATACACAAATGCAGGGTTTCCATCAGTGCAGATATTCTATCCATGTGTGATCCCAGAGGGAGTACATGCAGGGCTTTGAGGACTGACATTCATCTCAACCAAATAGAGAGTTCTGAGCTTGACAAGGAGCACTACCTAAAAACAGAAAGGAGACACTGTCCAAGATATCATATCCAAAGTAACCAGTTTATTTCTTTCTCTTGCTATACATTTTTTATTTTGTCAAATGGGAAAGTGATTCCTTTGCTTCCCTCCTCTTGGGCTAGGACCACATCCTACTTTCACTGTGTATTTAAAGAGAGAGCACTCTCTGTTGATGTCAATGCCCTTCAGACACTTCCCATACTAGTAATAAGCAAATTAGATTTCCCTTTTTACAAAAGTGCTGAAAAATCTAGACTTGCCATTATCACTCAGCAAGATACTGTGATATTTTTCACTGTGTTGTTGGTTATGAAAAGCTATATAATATAACACAGAAATGACATAACTTCATTTTCACCATCAATTCCTTCTTTCCAACATTATTCAGTATGTGGATCATCTCTCTTGTATGATCAGATATTGAAACTTAGCTTTAAAACAACTTTTCTCAGAAACCTTACTGCCAGGGACTAGAATCTTTCTCATGTCACAGGGTCCCGTCAGGGAAATCCAGCAAGGTGAAATCATTCAAGAAATCACAGTTACACAGAGGAGAATCAAAAAGCCATAATATACCCAGCTGGACAAGAGAGGAGTCCCAGGTGCTGAGCAGCAGCTGCCAGTCTGATGGAAGTGCTCATTAAGAGCTCTGTGTTCATGCAGTAAGCTGGAAATGCCTGACTCTAGGAACGTAATAGGCCAGAAATTGCCAAGTGTCAAGAACACAAAGTGCAGATCACCAGCAGCACTTTAAAGCTCCTATAATTCCTGAAGATCTGTTTGGAATGCTATTCCTCTTGAAATCTGTCAGCCCAGGGGTCTGCCTGACCCCCCTTGCTGCTTGTGTGGAGTCAGCTCTACCAGCACACAGGTGTGAAACAGCATTTCCCCTGCCTGTAAGCAGTCAGAATGAAAACAAGGTTATAAATATTGAAACAGATTCCCAGATGCCAGTGTCTCAGGACAGGTGGGAACATGACAGTGCATGAGTCTGTCTAAAAGCACACAAGGACTGTTCAGGTAATAGAATTTCTCTGAATAAGAATTTTCTCTGGCTTTGGACACAATAACTGCCTGAGATTTTATTTTCTCCCCTTCAAATCAGAATTGTTCTCAAATCAGCACTAAATTGTCCTCCAAAGAGGACAATTTAAGATGTAATTCAATCTTTATATGATACATATAAAGAATTGTCCTTACTAATTTTCAAAGGTTTTTTATGTTTTGGTTTCATCTTTTTCTCTCTTTTTTTTTTTTAGAATGATTACACAGTACTGTTAACTATCCTCAGAGATATTTTCATCCTAAATATTGAAAAATAAAATATATTTATTGATGTGTACTCCAGATACCTTATGATTTAAGCAAGAAATTTAGCATTCATGAATGATATTTCTTACTTTGCTGATGGCACTACGTTTTCACATAGCAGCTGAATACTTGTAAATATATAGGATATACCCAACCACTCAAAAAGGGAGATAAGGGTGGTATGTAAGGTGGCATTTCTTTAAGTAGAAATAAAAAATATGGCAAACTAGTGAGAACTCACTGAAAGACATTTGGCAGCACTGGTTATGTCTGAAAATAATCCAGCTGCCATCTTATTTTAGACAGTCACAGGAGTCTGACTGACTGATCTAAGAAGCTGTCATCAAAGAGATCTGAAAGCTCGATAAAGTACAGAGAAATCAATTTTTCAAACCCAGCCAATCTTCAACCTGGATGCTCAGGGAACAAAGCAGAATTAGTGACTGGTGTAAAACTGGTGTAGAGGAACTAGAAAAGTTAAATTACTCAAGATATTACTGGATTTGTATATTTCGTCTGCCACACAGTTTGCACACATGAATATTATGTTCACTGTGCTATATTCATTTTTTTCTAGTAAACAGATAAAATGGACTCAGCACTTCCACTTTTGGACTAAATTTTTCTCATTTGCAGACATTGTATTTACAAAATAATCGCTTCCATTTTTTTTCTGCTAAACATCTTCCCCTCCCAGTACAATTTCTATTTATGTATATTCAAGTGTCTAAGTTCTGCCAAAAGTCAACAGACTTTCAAAGAAAGTCCAACATTTATTTTATGGAAAACACCTCTGAATATACAGTCCAAAAGGCTTAAATCATTTCTGGGACTGAGACAACACTGTTGCCTCAAGTTTTCTCTATGGCTGTTTCCTAATGACGGAAGCTGTGGTGCCCATGTCTGTAACTCATTAACACAGCTTTGAAAATGCCTCCTCTCCGTTGCTCAGCTCCAAAGAATTCTCCACCTTCTCATATAATTTCTTTTAAATCTATTCTTTCCAATTAAACTTCTACTAAACAATTTTAAAAAATATATTGCTGCTCTAAAATTACTGAATTTCTGGTTTTGTTTCATGCTCCCTCAAGGAATATTTTGAAGAGTGTACTTATATATCATATTTGGCAATGGCTTGGGCATGTTAGGTTTTAAAAGTGATCAGATTTCAATTACCAATAATGACCTTGCAGGACCTCAATAATTACCACAATTCTCACAGGGTGCTTATTAAACTTTTAGTGGTTTTTCCTCCTATTTAAAAAACTTTATTCCTTTCGCACAGGAAAAAGAAATCTGGATGATTTCAAGAGGTCTATTTATGCCTAGAGCTACTTACTGATGATAAAAGAGTAGTACTGTTTGCTCATATCTTATTTTTCCATATTTGCAGCTATTTAATATTCTGCCCTACCTTGCTATGTGCTAAATGCTTTGCAGCTTTTAGATGCTTGATGTTATAATTTTAGCAGTCTTATATTTCTATCTATTGACATCAGATGTAATTTTTATTCTTAATTTTATTGAAATAAGTGTTTTGGTTTTTTTCCTTATATCATAATCATCTCTAACATCTCACAGTAAACAGCAGGTGGTTCTAATCAATCTCTCTCCACCCATTACTTATTTCCATGAATGTTGTCTTTTAAGAGTTCTATGGGATTGGAACTACACATTGTATAAAACTGCCACGTAATTTTTGTTTCTGATGATCCATTATCACAAGACACCAGATGTGTACTACTTCTTCTTAATTACCATACTTAGGGCTTATGTCATAAAACTAACTGAGATAATCTTTGATCTGGGTATTTTCTTCCAACACTGGGAGGACACAATACCACATTACCTCAAGATATGCTCACACAATATTTAGTAATTGCTCATAGGAAAAGCAATTTGATTGTCTGAGGAGCAAAAAGAAGTCTGCAAAAGCTGCTTTTCCCATACATTCCTCAACCTCCTGTAGCCCATAGAGCTACACAAGTGTTGAAGAACTACCTTCTTAAATGAGCAAAATCTAGTTTTTGTCAGGGAGGAAAATATATACATATACAAGAAAGTATATTGCTTAGTAATGAATGATATCTTATTTTAAATATTGATTCTTCTTCCCTAGATCCTCAGAGCTCTTACCAGAAATTACAATATTTTAGAACCAACATTCCAGAGATATAATAACCTGTCTGCTGCTCAAAAAATGTTTCTTACAAAAATTAGAATTAAGAATTTTTTCAAAAATTTTAAATTTAATTTTTCCTCCAGTAAATGTTTCTCAAAATAATGGATATTTTAGCCAGCACATTGTTTACAGCCTGATTTGCTAAGCCCATGCTGCCTGAATCACACCACAGAAAGTGTCTTTTCAGAAGGTATTTTCTGTCTTCACCACCTGGGAAAGAGATGTTGAACAAGTCCCTGCTAGATTGTACAGCTCAGAGGTCATCAGGACCAAAGTCTCCCACAAATTCTTCCAAGAGCTGCAGAATTTTCAGACTAGCACTCCACAGCAGTGTTAATGTTATGGATTTAAAAAAGAAAATTAGTTTGAAGCAGATTTAAGAGTTAAAAGCATATTCAGCAGTGCTATTTTTACATTGCCAAGTAAGCATAAAACTCTATTTCTGAGGAAAAGCAGAGAGAAGAGCTTATCTTCAGTGGGAGAGGGAATGTCTGTCTCAAGAGACTGAGCTGCTTGATCTAAAGCCATCCAGAAAACACTGTGTGCCAATCAGTTCAGTTCCACTGAGTGCTAAAAGCATGAACAAGCAGGTTAATATAGCAAACTGAGCCTGAACCTGGCACTTTGGAAGCCTGGCTTCCTTTCCTTGCCAAGTTCTCGCTAATCTTAGTTAGCTGTGCCCTGCTTCACTAGTCCTTAGCTTTTGTCTTACCTTTCATTATTGTTTTGAATGCCACTAATACAGCAGTGCTCACAGGGGAAGCCTCTAAAAAAACTTTTGAAATATTTAATTGGCAAAAATTATACATATTTAAGTGTTTGATTTAACATTTGAACGACTGCAAACAAAACACACCTTTGTTTTCTGCAGAAATATTACATCAACTATAAAGACAGCTGGCTTTAACTAGGGCCATAACTTTTTTGCTTTTGTGATTATATTTTTGATGCAACTTTTCCAACACGGTTTTTGAATTATAGTTCTGAAGTTCCCAATCAGAAGTCAGAAATGTGTTTATTTGCAAGAATTCAGGCAAATAGTGAAAGATTATCCAGAAGTAAAAGTTTTAGAATACCTGGTATGAAAAAAAAATTAAAATATTTTTTCTTAGAAATAAAAGAATCGCCTATTTAAATAGAGTATGCTTATCCTCTATTCAACACTTTCAAAGCAAAATTTCCAGGCAGAGCAAACTGACATAGCTTCACCAAAATCAGTAAACTTTGCAAGTCTACAAGCTGGAGATCTAACCCTTCATTAGTCAAGTGACTTCTTAATACAATTTTACAGCCCTGGTACTTTTCTGAACCTTTATTTTCCAAGTATACAGATTCTCAGAATTCAATGGCTTCCAGCAATTCTAATAGCTCTAATTTTGTGACAGTTCTTCAAAATTGGATCCCAAATTACTAAAAAGTGCAAAAACATCATCTGCATTTTAGAATCTACACACAAAGTTCCAGCCTGATTTATATATTCCTTAACTCTACTGCAGACAGCTGAGAGTTAAGTCTGCTGCAGTTTGTACTAATATGGATGATCTCACCAGATCATTCACTTACAGATTCTTCAACAGTTTCAACAAGCACTGTCATGGCTTCTAGTCTTGCAGCAATAACTATTCTGCTATCATCATCTTCACACTTCACAGTTTTAAGTACTTCTATCTTATGGGAAGGATTATTCAGATTCAGTCCTTCTCTGCAGCAATAACAGATCAGTATCACTCAATAACACAGACAGTTCTATCCTGTGTATCTGAAGCCTGTTTTCCTGGGATGAGTTTTTGTTCATCACTTCCAGCTAAGTGAAATGACTGGTTTAGCAAAAAGTCTCTAAGAAGTGCCTCACAAACCCTCCGAAAAGGGACACGCCTGAGACAAGCCAGAAAATGGAGCAGGTTTTTCAAAAGCAGGACTGTTGCAGGTAGAGCTGCAGTGAACTTGCAGTGCTGCTGGCCTGTAGGCAGAGACAGATTGCACTAATTTAGACAGTTCCTTGGGCCTTTCTAATTATGCCATGGGCCATTCCTTGGGTGTGAGTTATGAACTGCAACTCTTTGAAGAACAGCACTGAATTTCTCCTCAATGTATAGGCTCTGCAGCTTAATACATATCATGTTGACAAAGTCACTTCTTTCCCATTAGACCTCTGTTGTTCAAATCAGTGAATTCAGAACTATTGAGGTTAGCATTTGGAGCTAGTCCCTCATTTTCTGAATTTGGTAGGCATACCTAATATAATTCAGATCAAGCTTTTATTCAGATTTCTATGCTTTTATTTCCCACATTTTCTTGTATTTTTATGTTTCAACCACACAATAAAGAAAAATATTACTGGTGGATTCATTACTTAGTTTGCAAAATTGACACTCAATTCCAGCATATGAATATGCAGGACTAGATAGCGAACAAGCATCAGCAGGGAGGGAAAAAGATGATGAGGAAGAAATCTACCTGACGTTGTGCCAGACTCCTTCTGCATATTCTAGCTTTTCACTCTTGCTCTGATTTTTACTACCTCATATATATTTTTTTCTTTTTTATACACTGATCAAACACTCACAGTTTGTCTTTCATACAGAATGACATCACAGTCATATTTTCCATCAAACTATTGCCATTGTAACAAGCAATGGTGATTTCTCTTACTGGAGTATGTTACAGTTAATGTCAGAAAACATCAAGTAATGAACCCAAGAAACAAACAAGTTACCATTAGATTAGATCTCTGTTTTCTTCTGATCCAAAATGTCCCTTCAGGAAACATTGGAGGTGTGTAAAGATTTCTTCAGGCGACCTCCTTGTCTAGCATGGCCTGCAGAGTGAGAAGTCATAAGAGAATGATGAGAGGCTCAGAGGCACTTTGCAGTTTGGCTAATACTTCAGGAGAATCAGTGAAAGACAAGTTGCACTGAGTACCACATTCCCAATCACCTCCCGAAAGACCTGCCAGGAAAAGTGTGGAAGTGAGTGCTTTTGCACAGGCACCACCAATATAGTGTAGAAATACTCACATTCTGTAGCTTACTCTAATTCCCTAACAAATTTGGTCATGCAACTGTCCAATCCTCCAGCACTCCTGCCAAAAAAACCCCACATTTGCATTTCTGATTTTAAACAGCCTTTGAACTTTGTGTATCCAGGAAGGCAAAAATCAAGTCTTGGACTGTGCAAAGACAAGATCTTTTGCATCTTTCATCATTGCCAATCAGTCACATCCAACAAAAAGAGGAAGCCTCAAATCCATCATTGTGTTTCAAAGAGGTTTGTTTCCTCTCCCAGTTTGTCGAGTTTCACAGGGCTTTGAAAAAGCAAAGCCATGCTTTGAGTTCCCATGCTGTCCACAGAAATTGAAAAGTCTGGAACACAACACCAGATGCTTAATATTCCAGGACATGCGGTTTGTGGGATGTGTTACAGGCCACTTGCACTGGTTTTCAATATCTTGTCTCACCTTTTTGCTTCATTTCACATAGTACTTCACTAGGCACTACATCAGTTTTTTTCTCCTTTTCTTCTTTTGCAGTTTGGAAAACTGAGATAAAGCTAATTCAGAATATGCTCAGCTACCAGGATTGACTTTATTAAGGTTCATGTAGGCAACTTGCAACTACTGCTATTGTTATAAATTCTTTCTTCTACTTTGCTTTTTATTGAAATATTGTAACTACTTTACTGTAAAACCAGCTCCTAGATTAATATACCAGAGTAAGACTACACCAATTTTTAAAAAATTAATAATTGTTGGACTTGGTGTAATATCTGGTTTCTGGGGAATATAGTTACATTTTTGCTATCAAGGCCATAGACTGATAAATGTTCCTTCTCCATCCCTCTCCAAAACATAAGTTTATGTTTTGATTATTGTGACTGCTTCTCACCAGCACAATAAGTTTCCCCCCCAAAACAGTAATTCATTGAAACTAAAAGTTAACTAATACTTGCAAAAACCCATGATTTCTAATTTCAAAATAGTAAAAATACAGTTAAGTACGCAAAATAGATTCAAGCACATATATTCCTGGAAGACACTTTTATCCCTCCCATTTCTCCAATTTCTGTATATAACAACTAGAATCTGAAATAGGACTAGAGCAAAACCACTTTGAGTGTACTTTAATATCTCTCAAAGAAATTTTGTCAGACACAACTTGTTAGTCAGTGTCCTCTCCTGGCAAATCAATAATAGAGTTGGCAATATTCAAAGCACAAAAGAGGGAAAACCGGCTTTCTTGGCAAAAATACGCTTCTGATTGAGCCCTCAGCATTTCTTTTCAAGACAATGCTCCTTTGCTTCAAGTACTGTATTCTGCCACTTCCAGATCAGTGGCACTCTGCTCAAACCATCTCCTGCCATAGCAGGTATTCAATTCCCACAGCTTCATTAGAAAAATATTTCCTTTTATTCATGCTATAAAATGACTAATTTCCTTCTTCTGGATTTAGATATACTTTTTGTCACAAATGCTCATTTTTAGACTACATGCTAAGCCTAATGATTTTGATTTCCTCATTTTCGTGTTAGAGTCTGTTTCTCAGTTTCTAGAACAGGGTGGCTGTGCGAACCTCATTGACTCCAAGTAAACCTCACTTGCCTCTGAAAAGCAGGCAAGGTGAGCTGGACCCTTCATCCATCACTAATTAATTCTAGAAAGCTGTTAAATAGCTGGATTGTAATATTTCATTCAGACATAAATTAATCTTTGCATTTCTCATTAGAAAGCATTCTCTATTCCTTTACCCTTCAAAGACATTTGTCACTGATTTTGAAGTTTGTCATACTTCTGAACATAATCACTCCCTTTGGCAGCTATTCCATTCTTATTTCATTGGTTTGAACCTACTGACTTGTTGCTCAGCCACCTTTTCTGACCCAGGTTAAGCATCTAATTTTTTCTTATATCTGCCAAGACTTAAGCAGGTAATTGAAGAAAGTGTATTTCAAACATAGTGGATACCTCTCTGTTTCTTCCCTTGTTTTGAATTCCATTCCTAGACATGGTCTTATATTTCTTATCCATTCTCCCCACCTCAAGGGATGTTGTGGTTAAGTTTTAGAGAGAATTGGCAGAGAATTTCAGGAGGTGGCCTGGCACAGGTCAGGGACACCACAATGAGTGTACACAAGCCCCCTCCAGGAAAGTTTTGTGTGCCTTTGTAAGACTCAAGTCACTTCTAACTTGCATTTCCTATTGCTTGTGTTAAAAACATTACCTTCCTTTTCCTTGCAAGGTCATAGTATTTTAAGCAGCTGTGATTTAGATCTAAAAGCTGTAATAATTTTTTCTTGCTGAGAGTCCAAAGACACACACACAGTTAATTTGGGTGACAAATTCAGATGGTGCAGATTTCAGGTTCTATACATCTTGTCTGCAGTCTCTCTCGTTCTGGTTCAATAGTAGTTCACATGAGATTTCAGGCTTGTTACAATTTATGTTTCATTGTATTCCTCCTATGGACTCTGCAAGCTCTGCCAACCCCAAGAATTTCTGTTAATGAGACAGACAATTCATGTGCCATCCCATCCCCCTCAGTCCTTTAGCTTCGTAACTGCAAATAAAAATGAAAATTATTCCTAAGAATTCTGCTTGACAGAGAGTGGGGGCTTTGAGAGATATGAGAACATATCAAGGCTTTTTTAGGAAACAGTAAGCCTTTCCATCTAACATTTTGCAGGATTTTCTCTCTCACCTCTCAAAAGGTCAAGATTGCCAAAGAACCTATTTTTTTTTCACTGAATCTTTGTGTCCTCAAAGAAAAAACAACTCTACAGTTATAGATTTAATTGCCAATCTACTTCATAACATGTTATACAGAAAAAACCAAGGACTTAATCTTCAACATACTTGAAAGGAACCACTAAATTCCTATCAGTGCCAATGACAGAAGATCATGGTTATAGGCCCAGCACTCAACAATCATTATAAACACATCTGTCTAGTGGAATCCACACTGAGATACAAGATAGGTGCTAAGCTTTCAGGGTTCCTTTCTGAGAAAGGAACAGCATTCCTAAACTAGAAACATACCTTATCTTGCACTTACCGATGAAACACTGGGGAAAGGGCAGGGAACACCATAGCTTACAGTTAGGTGCCTATATCCAGGTCTCTGCAGACAAAAAAAAACCCCAAGAATGCCACCAAAGTGTGATCAATACATTAACAGCCTGACCACCAGGTGTGCCACCATGTTCAATTGTAAGAATACATAATTCAAAACAGGCTCTTCAGCCTAGCCAGTAGGAATTTCATTTCCTAGAAAGGAAATCAAAATATCCTGGGTTTAAAAACAGGTTAAGTGGTAGGTTTCCCACCCAGTTACACTAAAACACCATTTCTGCTGTATGCAAAAGAACTTAAAGACTGTGTGTTTCAGACCTTGATGGTTCTGGGGCTAAAAGTTTTGATACACTAAATGAGCTGCCTATTGCCTACCTTGATTTCCAACCAGCCCAAAGTTCCCATTTTTTGAGCTGCATGTGTCATCTTGAATGGGATGAAGGCATTTCTTTCCACCTTATTCTTCCTAACCAGACACAGCTTATTCAGAAGTAGATCTCTCTCATAACAAACCTACAAAATGACATACATAATTACTGATTCTGACATATCTTTAATCAGTGGACATCCATTCTTTCATTAACTAGTAGCATTGCTAAAAATTATGTACAGAATATGCATTATTAATAAGCTAGAAAAACTCCCCTTTGCATATTTTTCAAAGCACATCAGCTGGTTACAAAACATTGTTTTTTCCCATTCAACCTTGACCTGAGTTAGAACTTGTTAGTTGTCATGGCAATAGAAGCATTCAGGTGGTAGGAAAGAGAAATTAACAGATTCCAGCTGAAACTGCTCTGGTAGGGTGTGTTCTCAGGAAGATTTATATACCAGGCAAAGATTGATAGTATTTACACTTTGATGTAGTTGAATGTTTTGAAAAATCAGTCAGTATGATAAATGTGAGTTTCTTATTATCTGCTATAATTTTATCCAGCTGTCTTTTGCCAGAATACACCACTGACTGACTAAACATCTTTTTTTAAAGTTATTCTGGTAAAATAAATAGGAAGGAAATTAAGTACGAGGTTTTTTTAAAAAAAAAAAGTTATTGCAAAAAAATACCAGCAGAAAAATTGTCTTGTGCAGTTAATTTTGTATTATTCTATTATTGTATGTATCAGAGAGTTAAACTTACTTTTTACAAGCAAAGCAGAGCAATACTGTTACTTCAGAAGTCTTTGGAGCTTTTAATAAAGCCAGCTTGAAGCTATAAAAGTTGGGATAACTTGCACCTGGCCTTTATGCTCAGAGCATTTATTTTAAAACAAATCATGTGTGATCATATGCCAGTAGCCATTTTCTGGCTTGGGACATACATATTAACTTTTATTGTAGAAATTTCACTGTTTAAGTTTTCACTTTCACTGATATAAAACAATTAGCTGATTTAGGTTTGGTGGATTTTTTGGGGGGAGAAAGGGGGTTGTTATTGCTTTGGGTGGATTTTATGTGTGTGAGAACCGGAAAACAAGAAAAATTGACCTATTTTCAAGGAAGTCTTCAGAAAAAGTCCTCATGGCAAGCTCAACTACACCTAAGCAGTTCTTGACAGATACTTGTCTACTCTATTTTTCACCATCCCTACTGATGGGGACTACACAGCCCTCCTAGGAAATGCCCTGCAGTGTTAACAATCCTTATAGCTGGGAAACTAATCTTAACATCCAAAATTTTCATGCTGTATGTAGTAGCCATCCTTTTCTCTTACATACAACGAATATGGAGACCGATGTGGTCCCTTCCTCTTCAACATTTTAAGACTGTTACTATGTCTGCTCTTAGTGAGATTCCATTAAAAAAGCCCAAAAACTAAATTTATCTCAGGTCATGCGTTAATGCCACCCACTAAGTCACCTTGGATAACTCCACTACTCTTTCCTGGCTCAGCTGTGAAGGGAAGTACATAAAACCAGTTAAGTTAAAAATCAAGGGCTCTTACAAGAGGAACAAGACAGGAGCCATCTCGTGGCTTTCATGAGTCAGCTGACAGGAAATAATTCTGATGTTTTCAGTACAGCAGCTATATATTAGCTTGTCTAAACAAAACAACCTGAGGCTTATAACTGTTTCTCAAAGATCTTGTCTTGTAACCTTCCCCTTCCTACTTCCCTTCTCTAAAGTAAACTTCTCATCCTTAAATTGCAGTCTGGTACACATACCTGGAAATAATATTGAAACTTCTGTTAAGCTTATGTTAAAAATAGTAAAACCATTCTATACCCTTTACCCCTTGCTATTTTCCTTCTTCTAATTAACAGCAGAATGATAGATTCAATGAAAGTGCTGCTAAACCAGGCATACCCCACCTTCTACTCTGCAGTCTATTACCAGTACTGTAAAAAGCATAATACTTTGCATGTGGCTTCACAGAACTGCCCTCCATTTTTTAGGTTTGGGGTTTTGGTGATGTTTTTCCTATTTCCTACTTGTCCATACTATTTTGAATTCTAATCTTGTCTGGTAATTTGCTTGCAGTCCTTGCCAGTTTGGAGTCAAGCAGTGAATGCTCTATAAAGGGCTCAGCAATTACACTTCCCATGCAGTGCTCAATTCTGCATATCTGGCACAACAGCGTTTGCAGACTCATCTTGCTGCCATTAGATACGGCTCTAATTATATTATGGAACAGGTAGAATCAAAAGCCAAATAATGTAATAATCATGAAAATAACACTGCCTTCTAATTCCAAAGGGAGTAGCATGGTCACCCTTGAAAACAGGCTGCTCATATGGAAAATACAGAGTGCATCTTTTGTTCTGAAAGAGGGCATTTAATTATCTGACCTTCATGAGCAAGCCCAAAAACAGCATTCTGAGATTTTTTTTCTCTTTGTTTTATACTAGTTGCTCTTATTTCCAGTGTCATTGGAATACTTGGAAAATGAAATTATCTAAGGCAGCTGGAGTAGAGGATTATTGTATGTCCCTTGCAACTGAAATAGTCTGCTCTATTCTGTCTATTCTACTCTGCATCTGCACAATCAATCACGTGTTACTGCTCCTTCAGGGAATGTTACCTTATACTTTATCTTTCTGTATTTTTATACCATTTTAATAGGTGGCCTGGTATTAGTTTAGAACTGGTTACTGATGCATTTTGAAAATTGCAAATTTTATATTGTTGATCTAAAAATTCTGTATCAGACTTCTGGAATAGTATGTGGAGGTAAGGGGTACCACACACAAATTGTATCACAACATTAAATAAAAAATTGTAATGTCTCCTGGGACATGGAAAAAGGAGGGAAAATCACATGAAAGACTCCCAAAGCAAGTGAAGGAAATTCATCCTTCTCCTTCACATTTTAGACCAAAAAAATCATGATTATTCGTGAATACTTCTGTATATTTTGAATACTGGTTTTGAAGCACTGGAGAAAAATAATGTAAGCTGACTCCTCAATTCCCTGCCTGTGATGGCTTAAGGGCAAAACCAAGGTTCTGTGTAAAAGAAAGGTATTGAAATTGACAATAAAGCACAGATACAAGAATATCCTCATGGATGCTAATACAATAATAATACAACATTAATACAATATTTTCTCTCAAATTGTCCCTGCCTTTCCCCCTGAGGGTAGAATTCAGACACTTTAAAATTCTACCACCATAGGAACCTCAGGAAAACTGCCCCATTTCATTTGCCTGATATCGTATTAGTTCAGAGTGCAAACAGGCTGAAACTCTGGGAGCATCTTCAAGGCTGAACCATTTTAAAGGAATGCATTGCCTTAAAATCAGGGAAATGAAATGAAAATCTGCATTCCTTCCATTGATATTGAGTCATAGTTCTCACAAATACCTTTTTTAAAACCAAAACAAAGCAACTAAGGCAGATATGTTGATATGTTTCCAAAGGCAGTAATATGAGCTAAGTATACAATCACATAATTAATTAACCATTGCAACTTCACATGGTTCAATCCATTAATAGTAACAATATAACCAACCTTCTATTCTTTGTTATATTGATTTTTGCTTCCTTTCTCAATCATTCCTCCCGAGTCTCCTGCTTATCACTACTCTTTGGATATTTTTAGCTACTTTGCTCAACCCTGAGCAGAATTAACATAGCTCCTAGGTACACCTGCAGATAGTGCTATGGAGAACACTTACAACTCTGTATTCAAATGTTTGCTTTCATTGTTCTTGTGACAACACTGAAAATACATTGCTTTTTAACTACAATATTATGGGCTTGGAATGCAGAGGAGTACAGAACCTGGTCTCAAAATTCCAGTTCCTCCCTTCATTCATTTATGTTTCCTTAATATACGTTCATTTGTTCATTTCCCTGTTTTTACCATGGTAAATTCTCAGTACAGGCAAGCTCATTTCTCTCCCACTGCAGAAAGACATTAAGGAATAGTTATATTTCAGTTTGCTCAAAAGGTATTAATGAACATTCACTCTAAGCATTTTTAGCCAGTTTATGATGTTTACTCCAGTGTCTTTTTCCTAGGGCTCATTAGATTTTGAAGAATAATGTCTAATTGCTGAATATAATGTATTTTTTTACAACACTCAGAAATGTATGGGTTATTGTATTCATGTTAAGCAGGCAATTCATTAATATGTCACTTGAAGTATCCACCATCCTCATTTACTATTTCAGGGGTCTAATCTACGTGCATTTCCTTGCCAATGGCTGAACTGTTAATTGCAACATCAGCAAGGCTACAAGATTTATAGTCAGCCTATTCTAGAACAGCCTCATTTAGGGATGAATCTACAACAGTGACTGAAGAATTAATTAGAATGATTGTGCAACGTATCCAACATTCTTCAAGGCAGTTAGGGCAAAATAATCAGAAGACATTTTTTTATTTTTCAAAACTACTGCAGCTAGAACACGATCAATAACAACACATCTGTTCTCAGGTGACAATCATGCATTCAGCAAACACATCTCATGTGCAACATCAGCAAAGCCTGTCAAGTGTTGAAAGTCACGTTTACATGCCAGAATGTGCATTTCACTATTGCAATTACTTTCAGAGAAGGCTGAGTAACTGCAGGCATTAACTACACACACACCCCCATACCCACACAGTTTCTTTCTGCAGCACTGTCATGATGCTGTCAGATACTGCTGTCCCTAGGATCACTTCTGTTCAAAGTTATAGGATACTAATTCATTTTCTTTACCTTATTTCAGCCTCTGATGATCTATTTGCAAGCTTCTCTTTGACTTTTTTTTCAGTTTTCCTTTTCTATCTGAATCTAATGCAAATAGGAAACTTTCAGTAATTTAACAAAATCATGTGCGTTATTAATATTTTAAAGTTTTTTTTTTAATTTTCCTTCAGCATGGTATTGATCAGATGGTTGTATAATATGCTTCTCTTGCAATTCCTGTTACAGAGCTTAGTGGCCTAAGGGTAAAAAAAAAAGCCAAAGCATACAGGGAAAGGGGAACATTGACTGTAGCAACTCACCTAGCTGAAAATGTCACAGGAGTTTTCAGACCTGCCACTGAACACATGAAGGAACTCTCATCTGCTGAAGGTTTAT